ATGTTTGTTGGTGTTTTCTACGCAAAAATTTCTTCCATAATACATAAATATCTATCCAGGACAGCAGGATGACTGATCATCTATCAAAATAAAATTAATTTTTCAATAGTTAAAGATGAATCTGATAGAAATCACATTGCAGTCAGTGAACTTGTTAACTTGACAAGGTTTTATATCACTGCATGTGATGTTTTCCACTGTATCACCCTTATTTTGTTAAAATTGATAATACAAGTGTTATAAACTTTAAACAACCCCAAATTTCCTTTTCCTTTTTTTTTTTTTTTTCTGATTTTCAAATAATTGGTTTGATTTAGAAACCTGCATTATAAAGGCTATTTCCTCCTTTAGGTAAACAGCATCACCCATTTTTACTGAATCACAAGCTGTCCCTCTGAAAATAAATAACTTCTTTTGGCATTTTGCAAAACTACTTCTGTATTTGTCTTTCAGCAGCTCATTCTCCAAGAGCACTTGTTTCTTTTAACATTATTTCTGAAAGGCCTTTTTGTGACTCGGGGAACTTGCTGAAAAACGTTTTGTTAAGGGATAATATAGTGCTTGTTAAGGAAAAAAAACCAAAGCAACAAACTCAGGCAGTCAAATATATGCATTTTCCAGCTGTTGTTCCCTGCCTGGGGACTTAATTCTAGAAAGCAAAATCCCTATATTTCACTTCATTTTGGCATATGAAGACACAAACCAAATCGAGTTAAATGGCTGCTGATTAAAAGCAAAAGAAAACAACACAAAAATCCCACAGAATATGTTCTTCTGGTTTTGTTTGACTATTTCTGCCTTGAAACTGTAAATTTGTATTTGAGTCAGGAACATGGTTTTACCTGGCAATAATTATAGGTCTGATTCTGTTGCCTTTATTGGAAAAAAAAAAAAAATCTTTATGGAATTGAGGGAAACTCAGAATTAAGGAGGGCGGGATCAGGGTAAGGGGTTTAAGGCCCTCTTGCTGTTCCTGCTTCTGACTCACCTGAGCACTCAGGTGTGTTCTCTGCTTTAAGGGGCTTGTACCATACCAGTGGAAGTATTTACAGGCTTGAAACTAAATGCACCATTAATTGAGATGGGGGGGGGGGGGAAGGGGGAAAGGTAATAACCTTTATAATTGTTTTAATGCAAGGAACAAATGTACAAATTACTGTATCAGCTCTGCTGGATTCAGTGCAGATGCAAAGCTTTAAACAAAGACTTAAACATTTCCATACGCCAAGGGCAGATTTATTTCTTAACTGTCTCCAGCTTTCCTTGGCTTCAGAAATATTTGAGGGAGTGCTTAAGATTTTCTAAAGGAAAGTGAGAGAAAAGTAATACCTAAGAGAGAAGCACAGCATAACACTCCTCGAAAATAAATCTTGCCCCTATATTCTGCTTTAATCAGCGTGTCCATACTCTTTCAAGCCTCAGGAACCACAAAGATTCTCCTGTCCTTTATCAAATACACAGATTTTTTTTTTTTTTTGCTCCCAGAAATCGCAGATTCCACGGGAACAGCACGTTAGAAACCAGTAATAAAAAGTGGATGTGAGCATACTTAGGTGTAAATTAAATAAAAAAAATATCCACAAGCACAATCAATAAGTCATTGCAAAGTCAAGATCACTTACTGAAGAGTTTCGATAAGAACAATTGCACTGAAGAGTTTTAATAAGTAGGCAAGGCAAGGAGAAAAACATAACCAGGGTTGAACATGGCAAGGAAATAGAATTCCAGTTGTACTTCTCTATTTAATGTTCTTTCCTCCACTATAGGATAATGGGGGAAAAATCCAAAGTGACCTCCGGGATAACTATTTTTACTTCATCCCAAGGTAACACTTCTATTAAAGAAAAACCCAAACCACCAAAAAAAAAAAAAAAAAAAAAAGATTTATGCCTAATTGAGAAGCATTTGATATGTTCTAAAATTGCATTTACAGTAATAGAGACTCCTAAAATTGTATTGGTTTAAGAGTCTTTAGTTTCTCTGGGCACACAGCTGCCAGATCCCACTTGTGCCAGAAGGAAAAATGTCACCTTAGCACCGAAATCCTTGATCTTAAGAGACTTTCTGCACTTGAAAAACCACATTTTACCCTTCAAATGCCAAAAAAACCCTACAAGTGAGATCAGCTGCGTGTGCACCAGGTATTGGGCTCAGAAATATCAGCCTCCTGACTGTACCAAACCCAAAATCCTTGGCGTGGGGGCCCCTTTTTGCACCATTCCCCTCTCCGTTGTTTCTTACTCCAGAGCCAGCCCCGCTCCCAGTCAAAGGGAGAGATCCCTGGCCTCAGCAAGGGCAGCTGCCCTCACAGTGAGAAAATCAGGATTAACATTATCCATCCATGTCACAGCCTGGGGGAAAAAAAATCATTTCTGCCTCCTTCTCCTTCTTTTTTAGGACAAACCTTTCACCGCGGCACTTTCCCCCTCCCGGCGGAGAAGGGACAGGGGGCAGCAGAAGGAGGGAGGGGGACAAGGAGAGATGTATCTCCTGGGAAAACCACACTTATGATGTCAAACCCAGCACCAAAAACCTCACACAAACGCTTGTCTTCATAGATAGCAATTAACCCCAGTGGAGCCAGACTGGTCCCTCAGGAGTTACGAGTGTCCCACGGGTCTGTCTGCAAGTTTGGGAGAGGGAAGGGATGAATCAGAGAGTCTTACTGGAAGGGTACTTTTACATATGTGTGTGCATTCCCAGAAATTTCTACCCGGTTGGGAACAAAAACACAACCATTCACAGCCAAATTTTGACATTTAAGGACTCCAAAGCTTCAGTAAAGAAGGGGGAGAATTCCCAGATCAGGTTCTCCACCTTCCATGACCACAGCCTCTTCTATCCCAGCGTTGGGATAGCTGGGATACCCTTTGCCAGCAGAGAACACAAGCCATTAAATTACATTAATTGTATATATTTATATTATTGAATATTTATATATATATATATATATATAACTGTTAAGCAAAAGTTAACAAACACCTGTTTGGCCTTCAACTGGAATTTCCTTCTTTCAGAAACCTCTCAGTTAAATGACTTCTTTATGAACTCCTTATAGAAGAGGAATTGAATCTCTTTGGACTGGCTCAGGGTCATGTCAGAGTAGATTTCCTGGATCTAGAGCACAAAGCACCTGCCATTTCTTCCCAGTCATTTTAGATTTTGCACTTGCACAAATAAAATCCTTGCCTCAGCATGTAAGGCCTTCCCAGAACCCAGGGCACCAAAATCCTCAACCTTCTGGGGTGTGTTCCCCCCTGCAAGTTTCACACTCCAGATGAGGAGAGAGAAGTGCATGTTTTTCCACTCAGGAGGCTTTTCTGACTGCACTGCACTCCCAGGCTGGATAAAACACGGCTCTTCTCATCTCCCTAAGTGTCAGTGAGGGTAAAATAATAACCACGAGGTATTATTTAAAATCTTTTACCCTATTACAACTTATTTTACCCTATTACAATTAATCTAATAGAAAACACAAAGAGAAATAAATAACAAGAGCTCCTCAGAATGCAAGCACCATTGAAACTCATGGTGCTGTTACTTTTGAAAATACATTTCCTACCAACATCAATAGTTTATTCTGATGAACAGGCACAAAATGCAGTGCTACCACCTCAGCACAGAGCCATTCTTTTAGCCAAAACTCAAGCTTCTGAACGTCAAGAACCAAAGGGAATTTAGTTTCAGGAGCTACTTAGCATTTAATAGATACACAGCAATGCAGAGCAGATCCAGACCCCTGTCTGTATCGACAGCCCCGTGGAAACATCAGCGATCGCAAAAAGAGGAGGTTCGTTAGACTTTTTTAATCACACTGACTTCAGGCAAGACTCTCAGATCTCAAAACCCACGACAAAAAGCATCAAATGATCTCTCAAATACAAACAGCGAAGCAGAAGCCACTGAGAAAATCCAAGAGGAGCTCCCCCGAACCGCCAGCCAGGCTATTCCGTATCTCCCGTTAAATCTCTGGCATAATCGGAAAAGTGCAGAAACAGACAATACTACCAAGAAAGCAAATACCTTGACCCCAAACCTGATAATACCCTGACCCCGAATCTGATAATACGACACCGCAGAGCCCTCCCTGAACACGCTCTTCGTGTAAAATTAGTTTCGCTGCCACAAAATTACCGTTCCATTCTGCAATTAGCCCCAGCTATTGCTGTGGCAGTCACTGCAACACTGAGAGAAGCGAGAACTAGACAGACACATACATAGATTTGTTCAGCTTTCTGTCACAACCCGAAAAACTCAGCCAAGCCAGCCCTAAAATAAATTTAAAAAGATTAACGAACCATGCACCGAGGTCAAGCCAAACGCCAAGAAGAGAATTTTATTGTCCAAAAAATTAAAAGTAAAAAAAAAAAAGAAAAAAAAAAAAAGAACACACCCGGGAGATCTTCCCACCACCACCATTAAAATGACACGCAGAAAGGTCCCCGGTAAAAGGATCAGGGTTTCTAGAAAAGCACATAATTAACACCTGCACGAGAGAGAAACAAGAGCTGGTGCCTCTCTCCTTCCCGCTCGCTCAAATTTGTCTCCCCATCCACAAGAGAAACATCTCCAAGTATCCAAAAGCGCCCTTAGGAACCCGCTTTTCCCTTCCAGTGCACACCCTCTCCCCTCCTGGCAGTCCACAAACACATCCAAGTCTTCCCAGTGATACCTCTGAGGGATTTCAGAAGCTCCCCTAAAGACAGAAAAAGAAAAAAAAGGAAGGGGCTTCGCATTCTCAATCCACGGCACCGAAGAGCGAATTTAAAAAACCCAATTTTTTTTTTTTTTTTTCCCCGAGTTTGAAGTTTTTAAGCCTTGCGGATGGTTGGAGTAGGAAAAAGGAAATTTACTAGGCAGTACAAAGGAAATCTTGTTGTCCTCTATTGTGGCAGTGGGGGTGTTGCCCAATTCTAACTTATCTAGGTTGATAAAAGGAAACCGAAGAACGCGCCAGTGACCAAAAAAGCGCCGACGAAAAAAAGGTGCCCCTTTCTTACCTTAATAGTGCTTGCCATAATGTGATCAAGATTATTGATCGCTAATAATTGCTAATAATAATTATTGCTTCGCTCTGACCAGAAAGAAGTTTTGATGAGGTTGTTTAGAGCGGATGAGATTGTGCTAACTCTGGGAAATGAAGTCAGCCAATGGCAGGAAGAGGTTTCTATTGGTCCTGGCCACCACAGCTCGAAGAAACAGGATATTTGGGAGTGAAGAGATAAGAGTCCTAAAACAATGTTGTTTTTCTTGATGATATGTGACTAAAAAAATTTTTTTTTTAATTTTTTTTTTTTTTTTAAACAAAAAAGTCAATTGCCTGTGGCCGCCCGGGCAGGTGTGATGTGATGTGCAGTAAGTGTGACAGGCCACTTTGAGGCAGGATGCAGATGTCAGATGAAATGGGCCAAATTCAGCAGTAGTTTGATGCAGGCTGTCTTCCCTGGGGAATTGTTGGTTCAGGGCCAAAGCCAGGCTGGGTATAAGGGGTGTAACTCCAAATATGTTAATGAAGCCTAGCCCTGCTTACACCACATCTATATTTGTCCATCAACCTCATTCCCGGATTCCTGAGCTATTGACACTCTCTGGCCTATCTGATTGAGCACTTTTTTTCTTTTTTTTTTTCCATAGAGAAGAAGTGAGTAGATTGGAGACAAATTATACTTTTTGATGTCTCTTTGTTACTGAGGAAAGGAAGTCACAAAAAAGACAAAAAGCAAATGCCATAAACAGTCTTAAATCTTCCATGTTCTTCCCTTACTTCACAGCCCTGTCCATGCATGAGAAGGAGATGGTTTCACTGGCGATTCCCTTCCTGGTTGGAGTGTGATAGTCATTTTTTATTCAGTGTTATATTTTTATTTGTCCTTTTGTAGCACTTGGCAGTCACGGGGCACCTCAAATCTCCCAGCTGTGCAAACAGAGCACCGTCCCTGTCCCAGGCCTTTGCTTAGGCCTGCTGAGCTTTAAAGAAAAAATAAGTAAGAAAGGCAAAGTGCTTCCATCATACCAGCCAGTGTAATATCCCACATGGAAAGAACCACTCAGGATCCAGTGCTGGCACAAGCCTTTCACTCCTTTAGGAGTCTCACAGCATTTTGTGCTTTCATAAAAGACATAATTCCTGGTGTCAGGAGATTCTGATCTTCCAGCTAGAAGAGAAAAGCTTGAAAAGAAACCCCTTAAAATTGGAACGAAAAATGAAACTACGTCAGAATATATTATTAAAAAAAAAAACAACAAAAAAAACAAACTTATAATTTTAAAAAGCTGATCCTGCTCTAACAGGTTTACAATTTCTCACTGCTCCCTGTAACAACATCCAACCATGGACAGCTGGAAGCACTGCAGCACTGGGTACATCATTCCAGCTGAAAAGGTCCTGCCCTCTGACCAGGGATTCTGCTATGATAAAAAGAACAAGGAGTAGGGATGGCTTGTTGCAGCACTATTTGGTGGGAGCAGACGACCTCACCCTCTCCCAACGCCACCTTCTCCTCCTGCTCCTTAGGAAAAACAAAGAGGAAACCGGAGCGTTGTTGTGTAGCTGGTGATGTCTGCTGGCATCCAACATGCATTTTTTTCCACACAAAGACAGCACTAAATCCCAGTTCACTTTTCCCCCCCCTCTCCTGACCTGAAGAAGGTGAAATGCGCTTTTCCAGACACACAGAGAGGACATGAAGTGCTGCCCATTTGGCCCTTGGGAATTCATCCTGCAGGTGCTGCTCCCTCTCCCCCCCCCAGGGCAGGGCAGAGGAAAGAAAGGCTCACCCACCCTCCCCTGCTCACGGGAATGGCTCTGCCACCCATCAGATCCCAGGAAATCCTTGTTTCCAGGCGCAGAAATCCCTTGAGTCCAACCTTTGGGACACAGGATCACTACAGCTAGGATGTGGCAGAGCTGCCCCAGGGCACACCCTGTTCCAAGGTTAGCAGTGACACCCAGCTGAACCTCTGTCCCAACTCATCTCCAGCTGCCTCACAATCCTTGGGGCCCCACCTTGCCCACCCAAGGGGCTGAGCAAGCCTCCAGATCCCAACAGAGAGAGCGGGAATGGGAGAGCAGACACCCCTCCCCACTTTTCCCTCCTTGCTCTTGATCCCGAGGTGCCACAGGATCAGCTCAGTTTTATATTTAAGGAGCTCTCGACTTTTGGTCGCTTCAAAGCAACCCAGAGCCAGCACTGCCATGCAATATTTTATATTCTCCATCAGCTGGTTCATATGGGAATCCAGTGTTGCACTGCTGAATGTCTTCTTGGAGCCCACATCCATGGGATTGCGGTGCTCCTGCGGAGCAGGTAACTCCCGGTAACTTTCCTATTTTCATTACCAACCAGCATGAAAAGAAAGCAATTTACAGTAATTGTATTTCGTGGGGATGTTGATTTCCTCCCTTTTCATCTCCAAACAATGAGCAAGACAGCCAAAAGATTAGAACCTTTTTCTTGACATTTTCAAAGCCTTGTATAATGTTTCAGTTGGGTGACTTCCACCCCAGTTAAGCCCATGATATTTTGGGGTTTTTTAACTCAAATACACTGAGAGGCTGCAAGCATCATTTCCAGCTCTCCAGTGGAGAGGATCTAACAAATTCATTCACAAGCAGGTTTTAGTAATGATTCTTCTCCACCCCACCTCCATATAGACAAAGCTCCTCTTGGTTTACACAGGGATTTTGGAAGCATAAGGCACTGCTGAGCTCTATTATTATTATATAAGTTTTACAGAGCCCTCAGCCCGGTGAGGATTTTGCCATTTCAAGCTGGCACAGGTTCTGTGCCAAAGAATTCGGTGAAGTTTATTTGACTTTCAAACTAATACCCACAGGCAGATTTCTGAGTGCTTATGCTTGCGTTGATCCAATTGCAAGCAGAGCCTTGGTATTGTAAGGGAAGGAAAATATTGGGTTATCAAATCACCATCATCCAGTTGCAAAAGAAAAACAGTCCAAGCACTTCTATTATTTTTTTCTTTTCAGATTTTTTTTTTTAAGTAGAAAGAAAAAATGGTTTTGTTATGTTAGGCAACTACATGTTATTGTCTGAAATAAGGCTGTGTGAGTGTGAAGAACTCAGTCAACAAGCAGAATAAAAACACCCCAAGAAGTACTAAAAATCCACACAAGTCACTTAATGCTCACCTCTTAATTTCTCTCTCTTTATGCTGAAGGAGGGCAGGGTTAGATGAGGAAGAAATTCCTCCCTGTGAGGGTGGGGAGGCCCTGGCACAGGTTGCCCAGAGAAGCTGTGGCTGCTCCTGGATCCCTGGAAGTGTCCAAGGCCAGGTTGGATGAGTCCTGGAACAACCTGGGCTGGTGGAAGGTGACCCTGCCCATGGCAGGGGTTGGCACTGGATGATCTTTGTGGTCCCTTCCAACCCAAGCCATTTTATGATTCTATAAAATACTTCCAGAAAGACCATTCCCTATGCTGTTTGAAACACCACTACTGACTCCAAAAAACAATCCTGTCCTCGGATTTTTTCATCTCATATCCACTGGAGCGTTGAGATGGAGGAAATACATTGCAATATTCCCTATGTAAACAGATTTATAATCCATCTTGCTGTCTGGGAGGCAAAACAAGAACTCTGCTCTCAGCCTGGGCTGAACAAGAGAATAGAGGCACACTCTGCTATGTTAATAATGTGACCTTCATCCCTTCAACTGTACTAATTCCTCTGGGAAAATAATGGGGAAAACTGGAGACAGATTCACTTTGTGTGTCACGCTTACTATTCATGCACAGAGTGTCTGCAGATGTGGGTGTAAAAGAAAAGAACAGAGGAAAAAAGTGAGTTCTTGTTCCTCTTACCACCATTCCAGGTAAAGAAGAGGTTGTCCTCTAGGTAGAACCAGGTTAAAAATCCAACAACTCGAGCAGAAAAAAAAAGAATTTGCTTTTGCTTTTGTTTTTGGAAGCAGATTTTAAGAAATCCAAGCAAATTGATGTTATTTCACAGCACGTGTTATTTCACATCTGCAAAGATCTCAATCCCCTAATAAAAAAAAAAAATGTAGGATTTTGCTTAAATGTAGCTCCAAGCACCAGTGTGGCCGTGCCCAGATTGGTGTGTGAGGGTCAACTACACTCTTACCCAGCCCTTCAGCACGACAGTCTCCCTTTAATTCCCAGTTTTCCCCTGGCTCTGATGAAAATACAAGGGAAACTCTGCCCTCCCCACATAGAAAGCTCTCACACTTAGGATTTCACCAGGGGAACAAACAAGAGGTGCTCAGGAACTGAGTTTCACAGCCCGCTCCGAGGGGCTGTGGAATCAGCAGCTCAGGGATGATGGACACGGGGCTGTGGGATCAGCAGCTCAGGGATGATGGATTCTGGTCCCCTGACCCCTGGAATGTTGTGCCTTTGGGGCTGCTGAAGGGACCTCTTCCTTCCATAGCTTTGATGCAGCACCAGGTCTGAGGGCACAGGATCAAATCCCTCCTGGGAGCAGTGGGGTTCAGTGCCAGGGTGGGCTCATTCCCATTGATCCACGGCTGGAAATGTGGAGGTTAACTCTAGGAGGAAGCCCTGTGAGTGGAGTGGGACATCTGCTTTGCAAAGCAGACCATATAAAGCCACGTAATTAATACTAATTATCACCGCCTGGCCACGTAATTAACACTAATTATCGCTGCCTGGCCACGGGGGGCGGCACAGCTCTCAGCATCCTTCCCTCCAGCGCTGCTTCCAAGCTTTTTGTGCCTGTCTTTTCCCGTACTGCAGAGGGAGGAGGGGGATGCTCTGAGCCCTTCCACATCCCCGGAGGGTGCCGAGGGCCGGCAGTGCCCGGTGGGCAGCCCAGCCCAGCCCAGCCCAGCCCAGCCCAGCCCAGCCCAGCGGTCACTAGAGGGTGCTCCCTGCCCCTCCAAAGGAGCTCGCCGGGGCCGCGCTGCTCCCTCCGGCGCGAGGCTCCTTCCCAAGTCAGCAATTAACCCTTTTAACAAAAAAAACACTTGAGCAGAAGCAAATAAAACAGATTTCTTCCTCCTTCACTGGCACCCTCCCCCCCCCATTATTTTTGCACCCAGGGCTGGTTATGACTTAATGCCTTCCTGCTCTCCTGTCTTTGCTTCCCTTCATCACCCCCCTCACTGCTCCAACC